AGACAAAACAGATTGACACCATCTGGAATAAAGTAATTGGATTGATCAGCATTCAGTCCAGCTTAGATATTCATCCCTCCTTTATTGGCGAACTGAGGGCACAGTGCCTATTTATAGGTTGCACAGCCACAAGTCATCAAGAATCTCCCAAAGCATGACCTTCACTGGCTGGAACGAGAAATACAGCTGGCTTTTGGATAATTCATCAGCTCTAAACTTGCCTCTAAGTCACACACCATCAAAACTTTCGCATATTTCTGCCAATGCTGTCCTGAAGAATGTGGAAATTCTTAAAGGAATAATAACTAAAACCAAAGAGAAAAGAGTTAAAAAAAAAACAAAGTGGACAGGTGTTGGAGGGCCAGAAAATACATGCAACTAAATCAAATATGAGAAGATTGTGAAAGTGAGGTGAAGGCCTGGTGGGGTTAGGCTGAAATGAGAGGCAAGCCCATGGGAGGATTCAACAGGGAGAATGCTCAAACTTTCTGGGAAACTGTAAAAATCCTAGAAATCTCTATATTACGTTTTCTTGCTAATTAACAAGAACTAACTTAAATACTATGACTGACTGCTTCCTTAATTTTGCTGTTACACCTATTCTTATGAACTATTTTATCCCTGCTTGTGACACACTCAGAGCAAAAGTACTTACATGGTGATTAGATGCGAGAGTGTGATTTGGATCTTCATTAACAAAATGAACCCCAAAAGAGGTAGAGTTTTAATAAATGCAAACTTCAGCAGTCATCCTCTAACTAGGAAAACAGGCAGCTTCCTGCATGTGCAAACTGAAAAATAAGCTTATCCCAGAAGTGTGGGTGCAGTTAGGCTGAAACAAAATAAATCAGGTTCCACAGTCACCATTTGGCCATACACTAGCGTTGGAACGTTTACAAACTGGTATAGCTGCTGAAGTCCATGGGCACTAACTTCCTGACAATCTGATCTGGTTGAGGCAAGCACGGATGGCACAGTGGCATCCCTTCTAATTAGATCTTTCAAACCATTGCCCAGGTAATCCTCTGGCTAAATTGTCATATTTCTGCTGCGAAAATGAACAACAAAGAAGGATTCCTTTTGGCAGAGGAAGGGAGTTATTCAGGCAGAGTTGGTTTCTAGCCATTCCACAGACAGTCCCTCACAGGAAACTTAAGCTGGCAGAAGGACCGCACTTGTATGTGCCATGTTGACGGGTATGACCAGGGAGTGAATACATGAGGGTCACACTTCTCTCAGAGGACATTGGCAATACTGCTGCACTTTAACACTCAGGTCTTAGCAAAAGACCATAAAATCATAAGAAATTAAAAAAACAGGAGTAGGCCATTCGGCCCCTCAATTCTGCTCTGCCATTCAATAGGATCATGGCTGGTCCAACATTCCACATGTCCACTTTCCTGTCTTTTCCCCTTAATCCTTGATCAAGAATGTATCTTTCTCAGCCTTAAATATACACAAGGACTCTGCCCCCACAGCTCTCTGTGGTAAGGAGTTCTAAAGATTCTTAACCTTCTGAGAAAATAAATTCCTCCTCATCTCAGTCTTAAATTGGTGCCCCTTTGTTCTGAGACTATGCCTTCTGGTCCGAGACTCTCCCACAAGGAGGAAATATCCTCTCAGCGTTTGCCCTGTCAAATACCTTAAGGTTTCTATATGTTTCAATGAGATCATCTCATATTCATCTAAACTCCAGTGAGTAGAGTCCCCAATCTGTTTAACTTTTGCTCATAAGACAATCCCTCAATACTGGGAATTAACCTGATGAACCTTCTCTGAATTATTTTCCGGTAAAACAATATCCTTCCTGTAATAAGGGGAACAAAACTGCTCACAGTTTTCTGGATGTGGTTTCATCAGCATCTTGTACAGATGCAGTAGGACTTCCCTACTCTTATACTCCAACTCCCTTGAAATTAGGGCCAACATTCCACTAGCCTCCCTGATTACCTGCTGCACCTATGGGCTAGATTTCTGTGTTTCATGCACTTGTATCTCCAAATCCCTTTGTGTTGCAGCTTTCTGCTGTTTTTCTCTATTTAAATAATACTCTGTTCTTTTGATCTCCCTTCCAAAATGAAAAGCTACACATTTTCCCATTATGTATCAAGTCTCACTTATACTGAATAAAATAAACCAAGTATTGTCAATAACAGCTATCTCTTTGAATGGGAAAGCAAAACAAAGCACTGTGGATGCTAGAAATCTAAAGGGGAAGATAATAGAGTACGTGGAGACAGTGCCCAGAGAGAGAAAGCAAACTAGATAGGCAAAGAGATTGCTGATTATAAACAGGGAGAGATAAATGCTGGGTAGGATGCTAATGAGAGGTGTGAGTGGTTTAAAATGGGTTGGCTACGCAGGGTGCAACGCATAAAAGGCAGGAGGTAGTGTGTAGGGTAAGGTATGAATATCAAGGAAGTCAAAAATCACAGTACACCAGGTTATAGTCCAAAAGGTTTATTTGAAGACACAAGCTTTCGGAGTCTTGCTCCTTTTTCAGGTGTCAGTGAGAAAGGTGGCATTAGACACAGAATTAATAAGCAAAAGATCAAAGGGTCATAGAGCTGATGTAAATGTGTTGAACAAACCTAAGATGGCTATTAAATCTTGAATCAGTTAGAAAGGATTAATATGCAAATCCCAGAATTTCTTTCAAGTCACTGCCTTGAGATAACTAAAGGTTTTATCAATGTACCAGAGGTGACATCTCAGGTCGGACAATGCATTTTAGGTGTGAGGCGTTGTCTAGAATCTGGCTGTGTATCAACTTGGAGTCAGACTGGTTTTATTTCCAAAATAGGAACCTATAAAATGCGACATTGTCTATAAATTATATGCTTTTTGAACAAAATAGAATGTATCTGCAATTTCAAATTTGCAAATGCAAATTCACCCCATAGATTTATATGTGTGCGCACGTGTGTGCATGTGCATGTGTGTGAGAGACAGTCTGTGCATGTGGGTGTGTGTGTGTGTGTGTATGTGTGAGAGAGTGTGTGTGTGTGGGGGAGTGTGTGTATATGTGTGTGTGACTGTGAGAGAGAGTGATTGTGTGTGTGTGTGTGTGAGGGAGGGAGAGAGAAAGAGAGTGTGTGTGTATGTGCGTGTATGTGAGAGAGAGCAAACATGTTTGTATATGTGTGCATGCTACAGACAGAGAGTGTGTGTGTGTGTGTGTGTGTGAGTGTGTGTGTTTGTGTGTGAACGTGTGCATATGTGTGTGTGAGAGAGACAATGTGTGTGTGTGGGGGGG